CCAATAAAGACAATGTGGTTGACCAACAAGGACAATGTGGTTGACCAACAATGACAACATGGTTGACCAATAAAGACAATGTGGTTGACCAACAATGACAATGTGGTTGACCAACAATGACAACATGGTTGACCAATAAAGACAATGTGGTTGACCAACAATGACAACATGGTTGACCAATAAAGACAATGTGGTTGACCAACAATGACAATGTGGTTGACCAACAATGATAAAGACAACTCAGGGCAGATACACACAGAAACTGTGTTGATTTAGAGCAAAGAAGATAGAAGAGATGGAAGGTCAACAAGTCCAGATACCTGTCTATGGAAAGTCTTCGGCTTCATTTCCTCTCCTCTGTAGCATCCAATCAGACAGCTCTCTGAGTTCGGCTGGTAGGGCAACATCTCTGGACCCTGGAACAGAAACCCGGTTTAGAATACACAACAGTACCACAAATATCCTGAAGGTGTTAGGAACAGAACAATGAAAATAAAATCACCTGGTAGTCCAGCCGGTCCAGGTGGTCTAAGCTGTAGGAGACGCTGGGCAGGTAGCTGTTCCCAGGGTGCTGATCGTTGGATGGTGTGGGGAGGTAGCCGTTGGGTGGATACACGTCAGGCGACATCATCATGTGACCGTTGGTGGCGTACAGGTCAGGTGAAACACTCATGTGACCGTAATAAGTCCTGTAAAGCAGAAGAGATCCAGCTCCATCAGGAGATGATCCAGGATCTTAGTGCCTCAGGATGGTGATCCAGGCTGGACCATATGATAAACCCAGGAAGTAAACACGTCCCTGAATAGTTGCAGTCTTCATGAATAATCATGGTGAGTTGAGAACCAGCAGCTGCCTCAGCAGAGCAACCTCCAGCTCATTAATATTTATGGAAGGAGACACGCTGCCACAGCAGGACGGTATTTTCAACCCACTTCAAGTTAAATTTAATGTATCGCTGTATTTTCTCATCATTCATCTTTTTCACTGCAGTCYATTCCATTCACTTCATTAAGACTGAACCCTTTTCCTCACATGTCAGGGGTCTTATTCTACAAATTATTTATGTTACAAAACCTAAACGTCTAGAATCAAAGGTGTCTTTTAATGTTTAATTCGAGACTCTTTTTTTATGATTGGATGATAATATTTCTGTTACCTGGACCCTGAGCCTGTCTTCTTGCCCTCCGTACCTACCCTGCWCCGTAGACTTCTCCTTGGTCTTCATCTCCTTCCATCAGCCCCATGGCCCTCAGGGCCTCCCATTGTCTCTCTGTCGGGATGTTGCATTCAATTGCATAGTGGGACCGCCTCCTCCTGTGGCCACGCCCACCTTTGCCATCCACCTGCACGGTGATTTGCTGACCATACTCGTCCACAAAGTGCAGCTCCTCCCGGCGTCGGTGATGGGAAACTTCATGAGTCTTAGCCTGACGGCAGAGAGCAACAGGAAGCAGAATAAATGATTATTTTCTGCACAATTTAAACATAAAATCTGCATGRGCACAACAGTTCTGGATGGATTTCTCCACTCAGATCCATCATTTATGTCCTGAAAGATGTAGCTGGTACAGAGGTGGCAGGTTAACATCTTAGGCAGTGAAAAGGCTCTTTGAAAGGTAGGAGTTTGGCCTCCAACACAAGGTTGGTCGGTTCTTTTGATTTAATTTTTTTGGCGTGCCTGACTGCAGTTGCATTACATAACGTGGCATATGATTCACACGGTTTTTATGTAAAAAGATAAAACTGAGTCATTGTGCATAAGTTGGACACCAGGTTTGTGCTTCGGCTGGGCAGCAGCCGAATGTCTTCTCTGAATGGAGGTGTGTTAATGAGTGCAAATATCTGCTGCTG